AGGGGAAGGCACAGAGTCAAGGAGGTCGCCCAATTCTATGATGAGAGGTGGGTCAAAGAAGCGAATGATCAGCAGCATCGACTTCTCACCACATTTTCCTGGTCTAGTACTGGCATCATACACGAAGAAACCCTTCAGCGCCACACGATCCCGATGGCTTGGTGCAAGTTTGGAGCCATGCGATGCACGACAGGCCAGAATTCGTTTTCCATGCCCAATCCGACGTGCTGACCGCCAAATTCTCGCCATATCATCGGAACCTGATCGTTGGAGGATCCTACAGTGGTCAGGTCCTACTTTGGGATACGAGAGCGAAATCGGCGCCTGTACAAAAGACGCCGCTGACGGGCTACGGCCATACGCACCCCATTTATTCGGTCGATATAGTCGGCACTCAAAACGCCAATAATATCATTTCGTGCTCCACGGACGGCATCGTTTGTGGATGGAGCATGGATGTCTTTGCACAGCCGCAAGAGACTCTCGAGCTCAAGGCACCACCATCGTACAAGATCGACGACGTCAGCCCGACCTGTTTGGCCTTCCCCCAGGCAGATCCCACGTTCTTTTTGGTGGGTAGCGAGGAAGGCTCCATCTTTCCTTGCCACAGGTATGATAGAGCCGGCGCCAAGGCTGGCATCGATGCCCGGTTCAGCTACAAGGGACACACGGCGCCGGTCATGTCAGTCGACTTCCACCCTGCCCGTGGCCCCGTCGATCTCGGCGACCTGGTCCTGTCGTCTTCTCTGGACTGGAGCGTGCGCCTGTGGAAGGTCCGTGCCCCTGCTGCGACATCAACAGCGGGAGGCGAGGGCACCGTGTCGCCGCTCATCGACTTTGTTCGTGAGGACGTGGTCTACGATGCGAAATGGTCGCCCATCAAGCCTGGTGTCTTCTCACTCGTCGACGGCGCTGGTTGGCTGGAACTCTGGGACATCACAGTCGAGACGGAAGAGCCTGTTGCCAGGATATCGCCCAGCGCTCGCAAGGATGGAAGGACCATGCTTTCGAAGAGCTTGAACAAGGTAACATGGGAGCCTTCGGAGGGCAAGCGCCTGGCGACAGGTGGCATCGACGGAGCTTTGACTGTGTTTGAAGTCGCTTCTGGCCTCGGTGGTACGGACGATCTGAAAGCAGAAGAGTGGACAAATGTCAAGAAACTGGTGAACCGAGTGGAGGCCGTTGGCGCCAACGGTATCGTGTCAGCGTAGTTGAATAGTGTATATATTGGTGGACTTTGATTGGCCTGAGAGCTGCTCAAAAGCGCGGTCCTGTATACCCTATGGTAGCGATTAACATGGTCAGTAGGGTACAAAAAGGATTTAGTAGGTTGCGAGGAGTTAGTACTGGGCCATAGTGATGAGGTCCCTGTGGATGCCATGAAGCTCCAGGTAGGTAGCAGGATGAAAGAGGAAGGGGGGGCTTCCGCAGCTGAGTCAGCCACTTTCGAGCTACTTCGTCTGAGCTCCTGGTCCACCGCGAAACAGGTCGAGATTTTCTTCCTTTTCACCTCTTCAAGTGGGCTTCAATAGACTCAAAGCTGCAGTCAGCGATGCCAACGTGCTAATCCGACCATGGTAAGCTTCCTCTATCTTGCTACGACTCAATGACAAGCATATGATGCGCAACCAAGAATTCTGCAAATCTCAACGACCCCGTACTTTGTACAGGACGCATGTGGATTCATTCTTACACTACAACCTTCTGATTACTGTGCCGAAACACACATTCTATACGAAACAATTGATTTGACATTTGGCTAACCATTCCTCAAGATCTAGGTCCCTCCCATTCTTCCCATGATTTAGGTGTTGACGGGAGCCCCGGGGTACCGTCCCCCTGCGACTTCAAACTTGGCCAGCGTCGCGTCGATCTCCTCCATCTCAGCGTCGCTCAAGTCCACTAGCTTGGCATTTTCCTTGACTCTCGCAGCCGTAGTCGTGCCAGGAATGGGAATAATAGTCGGCATGCCCGGGCGTCTCGACAGCGCGCGGCACCAACCGAGCGCGAGCTGCGCAGGCGTGACGCCCTTCTTGGCGGCCATACGCTCAATCTGCGCGGTGAGCTCAAGGTTGATGCTGAAGTTCTCGGGCTGGAAGCGTGGAAAGTGGCGGCGCACGTCACCCTCGGGCAGGTCGTCGCGGGACTTGAACTGGCCCGTGAGCAAGCCACGGCCGACTGGCGAGTAGGCGATGAGGGGGATGTCGTGTTCGGCGCACGCAGCAGCAACGTCGTTTGTGAGGACGTCGGTAGAGAAGAGGCTGAGCTCAACCTCGACGCCGACGATTTTCGTAATCTTAACAGCTTCCTGAATGGTCGCAGCTGACACTTCGGAGAGGCTGATACCGCCAATTTTGCCAGTCTGAACGTACTCCTTGTCAATAACACCGAGTGTGACTTCGAGGGGCGTGTTAGGATCGCAACGGGCGCACTCGAAAATGTCGATTTTCTTGCGAGGGCCGAGTAGAGCGATGCTATTGTCGAGCGAGCGACGGACACCGTCAGGCGAGCCGTCGGGCCCGAACTTCATAGAGAAGGCACCTTTGATGCTGAGAACGACCTTGTCTGCGTCTTCGGGGTACTTTTCGAAGTATCGATTCAGGAGAGTGAGGGAGTTGGCTTCTTGTGTGCCGTAGAACTCGCCGCCGTTCCAAAATGTCAGGTTGTTCGCGATGGCCGCGCGCAGAGCTTCGAAGGCCTGTTCATCCCCAGTGGGTTCTTCACGCCAGGTGAAGCCCATGAGGCCGAAACCGTGGGGGCCGACTTCTTGTCCGACGACTTGAGGCATGGTGTGACTACTAGGCGAGTGTTGTGAAGGCTTGTCGAGGAAATAAATATTCAGCTGTTGAGTAGTGTGCAGGAATT